TAATTTCGCTTTAGGACATCGTGCTGTCACGAAACACGATCTATTGATAAGTTTTTCTGCACTTTACTGTTATTTTATCCAAAAACTTATTCACCCATGAATTCTAATAATTTCTACAACTTATAATAAAACTCAAAACATAAATCAGAATGTCAAACTTTCTTCTGAGCCCATAAATCCACAGCTAATTCCATCCAGATGGTGCGTTAATGTTAGAAATCTGTTGTGTTCAATCATTTTGACTCGAATCAGCTGCTTTTCTTTCCTTGGAGCCTCAAGTCGAGATTTCATCGGAATTCACAGTTGTGACTTTTTTTCACTCAGGTAACTGTCTTTGCCATTTTTCTTTTCCAGAGCCCGAAGTTCCCCCAATTAACAATTTAATAACTGCATTTTGTCATTGTTCTACTGCAATTTAAATTCATGATTTATGGTTTTACGTTCAAGGATATATGGATATTGAGGAATCTCGATTGTGCTCCAAGTGTTTGTGTTATTCTCTTAAAGACTCACACGTGCTTTCAGTGCGTGTAAATGAAAATAACTTTTTTTTTTGGCTCTTTTCTTTTTATTTTTTCCTGTAATTATTCACATTGCAATATGAATCTTTTGTTATTCTGCTTCTTGTTGTTTGTTGGCCGTGTACCATGTACTGGTTTCTTTAAAGTTCTCAAATTTGGGAGATTATGTTGGTTAAGTAGTTATTGTGCTCAGAGGATGTTAGACAAGCTCCGAAGTTACTTTCTTGAAAAGTACGGATAGGCACATCCTTATCAAAAGTTACTTTTAATGAATGCAAACATGAAGCTCCCCAAACGAACTGGTATTTGAGATTTATGCGTGTTTTGTTCGATTTAATTCCATCAAACCTTGCTTCTTGGAGTGTGTTTGAAGCATGGAGAAAGGACTTTTCTTGCTTTCTTAGCATTTCTTTGGTTTTTCCCTATCTTGCAAGCTTGTAAGCTACCACAGCTAAAAATAAATAAATGAAGGAAGAAGGTATTAGCATTAGAAAGATGACAAAGGCATTCTGACCCAAAATGAAAATTTTGTAAGAAAAGAAAATCAAGCTTTGAAATGTATAAATAGTGAAGTGGGTGCAATGTACTAACCAGAGAAAATATAGTACTAACTTTAGCATATACTGCTGGTTTAATAGCGAAGGGGCAAACTGAAGATTTACTTAGGAATAATGTAATTGAAAATCCATTCACTTAAATCAAGCTAAAATACTAACGAGAAAACTTCATGCTTCAAACATATCGTTCTTTGAAAAGGGTTCTTGAAGTTAAATTTAATTCGAGATAAAGATATTATTTTGTATCCATGAGACTGATTAGGACTCGTATCTCTTGTTAAAATGATCATTAGTACGTAGATGTATCACATGTTTCCTCATGACAGTAGTTTTTTAATTCAAATTCATTTGATCAATTGAATTGCTCGTGTCTCACTTCCTTTTGTTATGCGAGTTTCAGGAGTGTTTGATAATCTTTACCTAGTTTTTCTCAACTTCTGTAGCTATTACCTTCATTGTTGCTTAGTACATATATGTACTCTCTCTTTTGATTTTCTTCTCTCATGTCCAGTAGAACTGGACACCCTTTTCTTCATAGATATTATATCTATCTTTGTTATCTGGTTGTCACAAGAAGAGGACAGCACTACCCTTGAAGATGGTACTTATAATAATTGTTGAACCACCTCATCCAAAAAAACTAAGCTACTAGAGGTGGGACAAATTTATTTATTTATATTTTCTCTTCAATGTGCTATCTTGTGTGCAAACGAATTCATTTCTTTTCATAAAAAAAGCTTGACTTGGGTACAACTTTCATAAATGGGTGGCGGAGAAACTTGACCTTGGAACCTTTGCCTTAACACGTTGAATTACCTCATCTAAAAGCTTAAGTTATTGGAGATGGGACAAATTTATTCGTTTGAGTGTCTGTCTTTAAGAATATTATATTGTCCATGTTATGAGTTATTGCTGATTCTTAGAGGTTTCTTTTTCTCACTCATTTTTATATATAATGATTATCAGTCACTTTGTCTGTGTAAACCTTGACAAAAATAACTGCTTGTAATTTCAATTTTCTACTGTTGCAGGGTTGGAGGAAGAGAAACTATGGCAGGAGTTATACAGAAGTTCCTCATTGCATCCATGT